CGGGTTTAAAAGGTCAATCCAAATCCTACAAAACTTAAATCCAAAGAGTCTATACGGTTTATTAAAAGCCGGCTTAAATAGATTAATGGCTAACCGGACAGAACATAGACGGTCTAGGAAAAGCCTGTTTTCACATCCCCTATGTAACACGGGAAAGGATCCTCGTCATTACACACGGTAAAAGCATGAGGACGGTCACGGTGCAATGCAACTGACAAATACAAAAAAGGCAAAACACGTTAACGAGTGTGGCATGTGAGTGACATTAGACAGCCAAAAGATTAAAAAAATGAGGATTCGAGGTCATTACCATTTTGTCCCTCCCGACGAAGGCGACTTCTTCACCGTAAGATAAAAGAAAACCGACGTCGGGCAAAAGTCAAAAGTTAACAACTCATCACACAACACTCCTTAAGACTTTTCATTCATTCAACGCTTCTTTTGTTAGTTTTGTTTCGTTCAACAACAAATTTGTCTCTTCACATTAAGACACAACTACGAAATAAAATTCCACTTTTTACAACGTTTTGTTATTTTGTTACAATATTATTCCTGCTCTTTTGCTAAAAAAAATTCAATTTTCTTTTTCAAAGTTAGAGTCCAACAAATACCTCTCGTTCAAGACAAAGTAGGTACCTCTCGTTCAAGACAAAGTAGGTTGGAGAAAACCATCAAATCTTCTCCACTGATATGAATCCACATTTTAAAAAGGTGAAACCTGAAATATTCAAAGACCCACAAAGAAAAATACTAATATATACTAATATAAAGAAAATGCGAAGTCCAAACCAATTAGTCCTATATCAATTGGTCAATAAATACCTTTTGCTTACACAAGCACCAGTACACAACTATATATATAAACACACACAAGCCCTTCATTGCATAACACAACAACTCATTTCACAAACACATTCTCATAGAGAGAAAAGTTATAAACCAAAGTGAAAGTCCAAGATCGATGGAGATGAAGAAGATTATGATCGTGTTGTGCATCATCTTCTTGGTGGAGATATCTTTGTTTATTGGAGGAGTTGATTCCAGAGCCTTGAGAACAGAGCAAACCAACGGCTGTGATCAAACGGCAACCGCGACCGTAGAAGGTGGTGGTTTTGGCTTTTTCTCGGCGACTGCGAATAACTCGAGCGACCGTCTTTTGATGAGAAGCTTGGCTTTCCGATTAGCGTCTGGCCCGAGCAGGAGAGGACGTGGACACTAATTAAATACCATTAACTGATATTGATTTCTTCTTTTTTTGCCTTTGCGTATAGTATTTATAAAGAATTGTGTATGAGTGTAAGTTTTCTTTTTTTCATATCAAAAGAAGGAAAAAATTGATTGATTCAATGCCATGTAATCACTAATCAGAGAGGCCTATTTACTGGCTTTTTGTTTGCACAAGTCGTTATACAATGTAAAGGTTTGATTCTTTCTCTAATGGAATGGAATACAAAAGTTTATTTATCGTATCGTATCAAAGGTCCAAAAAAAAAAGCAACAACAGACGGTTGAAGAAAATGTTTACCATAAAAAAAGGGCTAGCAGAATGTTTCAATTACTAAAATAAAAGATCTAAGTCGAAAAGATTGGAATAACAGAAAATTATTCCGATTATTGACTTTCTTTGTTGAAAATCTTAGTGTAAATTTAATTAATTATGGTTTAAGACATTGAGCTTGGTCTTACGAGTTAACTGTTGAAACTTGAATGGTCCATGTCCTTTTGGTTGTGACATTATCAAAAGATACTTTTAACTTTGATTCCTACTACAAGCGAAAATATTTTTTTCAACACATAAAAATGCGGCAACGATTTTACATGCAATATTTCTATCCACATCATAAGGAATTCATCGCAAACAGTTTTGATCAAAAACAGTTGTATATGTACCGTAAAATCTATGCTTGAATAATAGTAGTCGCATAAGATTTCAAATTTGCAAAAGTTATAATTGCAGGAGATGAAAAAGTCAGTACTCGTTCTTCTTGGTTTCGATGAGACAAAGCTTTATTAATTAATTACATTAGTTTGCAACCGAGAGAGCTCGTCAAAGTCAGATTATGGATACGAACGATGGTGTGTTTATCGTTGAATTTGGTTCGTTGGTGATTACTGATTATTATACTTAGATGTTAGAGATTTGACTAATAAGCTTGGTTTTATCTACGGTACCCAATTAATCGTCCAAGACCTTTTGACTATTTCCCTTAAATTTCAGTTGTTCATAATTTCAGTTGATTGTTAAAGATATCAGTTGTTCATCATTTATGTCAAGTCCTCTTATTATCTCAATTAAATGAAGAAACCAAAAAACTCAATTTTAAATATAGAAACGCATATTGCTACTTTCAGCATTCATAAATGATTTCTGACATTTAACAATGAACAATGAACTTCTGTTTTGAATCTTACAAATTTCTTTCGGGACTAGACATTCAACCAAATCTTGAATTCATCAACAAATTAGCTACCATAGTAAATCACCATGAGAATCATTAGGTTTAGAGATATGTAATCTCCAGCTGATGAGAAAAATTCTTTAGAAAAAAACTGTGTGGAATTGGGAAGAACTGACAATTGAAGTCTGACTGTAATGGCAAATCAGAGACGACTAGAGAGAAGATCAAAGAATCAGTGAATTTGTTTAGAGGACTGTTGAAATTAAACAAGTAAAGAGGTCGATGAACTCAAAACACATTCCCCTGCGCTTGGAAAGAGAATCAAAACAAGAAAGAAAAAGTTATGTTCTTAGAATATCAAAGGTAAACAAAGCATAAAAGAAGATGCAAAAGGGAGAATATAAAAATGTGTAATAATCCTCAATTTAATAAAACAATTACTCCTTATCTATTATCTAATCTTTTAAGAAAAGAAGTAGCTAATGGCTAATTGTGCAACCTCGAGTAAACAAGAGAAACAGAGACCACCATAACCAAATGCGCAATAACCACAACAAGAAACGTTTTAAGCAATGTTGTTTCCATGTTTTCATGTAATTAAGTTACTACTTTACAATGTTTTCAACTCACAAAAAAAAATCATCAGAACTTCAGTCTAATCATAATGGTAAGTTTAAAACCAAAATTATGCAAAATGTGTTGAAAGAAATTGAACAATATGACAAACTAAACACATGGCTACAACATCCACAAAGACATAACCCAATCATACTGAGTTAAAACCCATTACAATCACACTGAAACTGAACATGATCCTAATTCAATCAAAACACTCAGATTCAGAAAAGGAAAACAATTTACCAACATAGACCACAAAAGTAAGCATTATTGATGATAAGTATCAAAACCCATAACGCCAAAAACAACAACCAAATGAAAAATGAAGCAAACATTCATATTTAGGAAGAACATGAACATCATCAAATAGGTAATAACACCATACGAAATCCAAATCCATAAGTCATTACAAGAACAGATCTGATCATAAATTCTGGAGAATAACATATGAAATCTAGCAAAAACCAAACCCTAGATGCAGATTTTAAGAGAGGATACCAAATTTCAAGCCTCAGATTCTGGAGCAGCATCGTCTTTAGAATCAGCCACAGATTCATTGGTCGATTCAGTTTCATTCCCAGCCACAGTAGATCTAGCCTTGACGGAATCAAGCATACGTTTACTAATCTCTTTAGAATAAACCTGAAGAATCTCGATCCCATCTTCGTCACTCGACACAGCACTCGAAGCGACGTCGTAAGCTTTATCCTCGATTGATTTCGCGACTTCGTTCGCTTCCTCAGATTTGAGAGTTCCGTATCTCTTAGAGAGGATAGATTCGGTCGATAATGTCTCGATGAGGCGTTTCAAGACGGCGTCGCGAGTTTTCTGAGTCGGTGGCCAAATGCGGAGAGAGATGCCACCGAGTTTCTTCTCTGGTGAAGAAGATTCTTTTTTCAGATCTGTTTCTTTTGAAGCTTCTTCTGATGTAAGATCTGGTACTGAAGGTAATGTGGTGGAGGAGGCTTCGGATTCCGGTGGTGGTGAGACGGTGGTGCTGATTGTATCGGCGGATTCTGCCATTTTTTTTTTTCAAGTGAATTTAGGGATTTCGAAAGAAGAACAAAAATTGGCGAGAGAGGAAAGGATTTTTTGTGGACTTGAGGAAAGTGTCAGTTTTTGAAGTCGGTTTACAAGTGAAAAATGTCGAGTTTTACATTATTGATTAGTTGGTTCGGTCGATAGGTACATTGATTGGTTCAGTCAATTTTAAAAAGGAAAAATTACATTTTTAGGCACTTTATTTTGAGCAGTTTACACGTATAAACACTTTAAAAAACAAACACATTTTCTTCTATGTAAATGACTCATATACCTTCATCTAAACCTACACCAATCAATTATAC